GATTGGATTCCTAAAATCCAGCTCAAGTGCCAGGGACAGATCCTGATCCTACTCCTAGGATCCCACAGACCAAGCTACACAACTGTTACACACATGTAGAGGCATACGTTGGTTCCATGCCCTAACTAGCTCTCAGTTCAGTGTCTGTAAGCACTCATGAGTTCAGGTCAGCTGTCTCTGTGGGTTCCCTTGAACTTGACCCCCCTTCCCCCCAGTGAGCTCTGGAAGTCCTATTAAAGAGAGAGAGGAAAGATTGTAACCCTTTGTTTAAGCGATAACCATTAAATGAGTTGCCTGGCATCCACACGATCCTCCTTATCTCCTTTCAAAACAAGGGTCAGACATGAGCAAGCTATGTGCTAGGGCAGACGAGCATCTCAACGCTGGTCTTTGGAGATAGTCAACTCCTGGACCTTCGCTTTACCCCAGGAAGTTTTCTCTTTAGTATTTGAATATTTATTTTTCTGTGTAGTACAGGGGTGTGGGAGAGCAGTGGGCTGTATTCTGCCGTCTGGCTAGCTTAACCCCTGAAATAACCACATGGAAATTGTATTAATTAAACACTGCCTGGCCCATTAGCTCTAGCCTCTTTTTGGCTAATTCTTACGTCTTGATTCAACCCATTTCTAATAATCTGTGTTCACCACAAGGTCCTGGCTTACTGGGAAAGATTCAGCATGTCTGACCTGGCAGCTGGCTCCATGGTGGCTCTCTCTGACTCTGCTTTCTTCCTCCCAGAATTCTGTTCTGTCTTCCCCACCTACCAGAGTTCACCTTATCAACTAGGCCAAGGCAATTTTCTTTATTCAACCAATGAAATCAACACAAATACAGAAGGATCTCCTACACCATTTCCTCTTTTTCTGTTTAAACAAAAAAGAAAAACTTTCATTTTAACATAGTAAAATTATATATAACAAAACAGTAATCAAGCAAGAATTGCAGTTACAATATTTATATTTATTTTAACTTTTATCATAACAAAGGAAAACTATAACTATCTATTCTTCAACTCCATCAAAGACTCCAGAAGGATATAATATCACCTAAGTAAACAAGAAGTAAACAACTTTCAAAACTCCAGAAATGACAGAGATATCTCGCTGCCTGGACAGTCACCCAAAGTTTTTCTGTACCGTTGGGGCATCCATCTTCAGCCTTCAGGCCCATAGTATCTAGCAGACATTTCCATGAAGCAGGAAATTTCAAAAACAGTTCAGTCACTTTCTGTTGTGTCCTGCAGAATGTCTCACAGACTCTTTCATGAAGCAGGAACCCTGAAGGACCATCTTAACTTTAGGCAAGTTCAGCAGTCCTCTCTCTGTGGGATCTTTGTGTCCAGCTTATGCAACAGTCCAGGCAAGAGCAGTTTCTTGCCCAAATGGCTAACCAACTCCATAAGGAGCCTCTTCAATGCTAATCTTCCTCTTGAAGTAGATTGGTGCTGCCAGGAGCAGACGTGTCTCAATGTCATGAAAATCCCTAAGTTATTAAAACATTAAATGCCATATTCTGTAGTCTTTGAAAGATATGAAGAATGCCTATCTGAAATATATCTATGCACATCTAGAAAATCTAACTAACATGAATACAAGCTTGACTATTATCAATGATTATCCATTAACGACCTATATTTCCTAATTATACATTATATTTTTAAATGAATTACACAATCACAATACCTTAATTAAGAGCAGAAATATACATATACATAAAACAGGTTTGACCTTAAATTTATATCAATAAAGCAAAATTTATACCAATGCAAATTTTTCATATCTATATCATATCCCCGTTTAAATGTAAAAGAACATTTATAAACAATATTTGGGAATATGGGTGCAGTTATTTCTCTCCAAACTGCTTTGAGAATTGTCTGTATTTTGTCAATCATGTTTTAAATAAATGCTGATTGGCAAGGCAGGAAGTATAGGTGGGTCACCCAGACAGGAAGTAGAAGTGGGGCGATGAGAACTGGAGAATTCTGGGAAGGAGGAAGCCCATTCCTCCAACTCCTGCCCAGATCACCGAAGAAGCAAGATGTGAGCTGCCCTGCAGAAAAAGGTACTGAGCCATGTGGCTAACATACACTAAAATAATGGGTTAATATAAGCTACAAGAGTTAACAAGAAGCCTAGCTAATGGGCCAATGCAGACTCTCTGTGTGATTTTCTCTGGGACTAAACTGCTGGGGGACTGGGTGGGAGAGAAACTCCCGACAAGCAGGCCCACATGTTATAGAATGGCTCCCATGTGGATAACTGCATCCACAGAAAGTCTGAGAAAGCTTGGGAAAGAATAGAGTAAAGCATGGCTTCTTGGTAACAGCAATTTCTCAGGTCTGCGCTGCTTGCTAGACAAGCAAGTGCTCTCATCTAAGAGAGGCTTCCTGACTCACCTTTGGCTGCAAAACCCTGCAACTCTTTAAGAGATCCTGCCACGAAACACTTAAATGATATTGATGAAAAGCTGACTGCATGCTTTTCAGTTTTCAGCCGTAGCAGGAAAAAAGCTGCACCATTTTAAAATGCTGGCTTTCTGGGCCGTCCTGCCAGGGCAAACTCTGACTCTTTCAGGCAGGCAGTCTGACTACAAAGCACTTGAGTGTGGTCTGTGAGCAGAATGTTGCAGCTTGCTTGCTGGCAGGGACCTTGAAACACTGGAGAGTTGTGTCCATAAACGTGGCTACAGCAGGTACCTCAGCCAGAAGGCCGAAATCTCAGAAAGCTAAGAAATGGGCTGGATCTAGCCACCAAAGCCACAGCTTTAATCCTCTCCATACTGCTTAGCAAATTAAAGACTCTTGTTGTCAGAAAAGGAGAGACATACAGTAAAGAGAAATTCAAAGACAAAGAAAATCTCTAAATGTTTTACAGTGTGTTAAAAATATACAGGCTTAATAAAAGGGTTAAAGTCCTTAAAAATAAAAATAAAAAAGAAAGAGTAGTAGGGTATGGTGGTACACACCTTTAATCCCAATGCCTGGGAGGCAGAGGCAGACAAATCTCAAAGCTTGGGAGGCAGAGGTAGACAGACCTCTGTAAATTCAATGTGTGGTGACATACACCTTTAATCCCTGCATTGGGAGGCAGAGATAGGCAGATCTCTGTGAGTTCAAGGATAGCCTGGTCTACAGAGTGAGTTTCAAGACAAAGATACACAGATACCCTGTCTCAAAAAGTCAAAAATTAAAAATAAAAGAAATAAAGTTTAAAATAAAGCTGCATAAAGATAGAAAACACACAGAGAATCTTGATACTATATGTTATTATGCTCTCTTTGAATTGCTTGAATGCTGAGGAAGGAGCAACAGCTGCTATAAGATATTTGATTATAAATGCTGTGGAATTAATCCCAGATAGGTATTTTGAAAATACCTTGACTTCAAAACTGAAGTCAAAAGGTATGTTACTTTGGAGCAGAGATTTTGCTTCTGTTTCCACATGAAATGAGAGGCTGTGAATTAATTCTGAATTAAGAAAAACAGATTTGATCAAGGAAGACCATCTGAGACAACTCCAGTAGGAACAGAGGACCCAAATGACTGAGTTCTACATCCAGAACAGATTCAAGACTGCTGCGTGAGATGATCAATCCTCACAGAATACTCCAGTCAGGACTTGATCATAACTCTAAATTTTCTTTAGGTCCTTATAAGATTATCATTGCCCCCAACCAACCAGAAGTAGCCTGGAATACTATGCCCACATTCCCAAAAAATGGACTATGGATATTTTCCTTTGTTTAAAAAAAAAAGGAAGGGGAAGAGGTGTGGGAGAATTGTCTGTATTCTGTCAATCACGTTTTAAATAAACGCTGATTGGCCAGGCAGGAAGTATAGGCATGTCAACCAGACAGGAAGTAGAGGCAGGGCGATGAGAACAGGATAATTCTGGGAAAGAGGAAGCCCATTCCTTCTACTGCTGCCCAGATCACTGAAGAAGCAGGATGTGATCTGTTCTGCAGAAAAAGGTACAGAGCCATGTGGCTAACATATACTAAAATAATGGGTTAATACAAGCTACAAGAGCTAATAAGAAGACTGAGCTAATAAGCCAATCAGTTTATAATCTAATGTAGACTCTCTGTGTGATTTTCTCTGGGATTAAATGGCTGGGGGACCAGGTGGGACATCAACCCCAACAAGCCGGACCCAACATGTTACATTTCTGTTCTCTGAAAACATTTGAAATCTTTCACTTACTCCACAGTTATGTGTAGTCAGTAAAGCCTGGTGAATGCCAAGAGCCCACAAGCCAGACACGTGTGAGATTTAAGGGGAGGATTATTTCAAGTTTGTGTGTGGCATTATTGGTACCAAAAGAATGATAATGCCACACCTCATCTCCTGATTGCCCCTGTGTAAGAGTAGACGGCCTCTAAGACAAAGCAAAGACTTGTCGCTGGTGTAGAAAACATGCTTCTATGGAAAATCCTCAAAGCTCAGGGGTTTCTTGATCACCCTTAGAACCTACTTTTGCCATTTGTCATTTGTCTTTGTGCTGACCTGCATGTTAATCTCTAGTGGGGGACGTTGGTGTCTGTGAACATAACTGCCTAATGAAAACACCGCCTTACCATGTTTGCCAAAGTGGGGCTTTCTCGTCATGAGACCTATTTATTAATTCTTCTTCCTTGTCAAATTTAAAGCTAGGACATGACTGTTGAATCCCAACACATTTAGGAGATGACTTGCTCCTAGTTAAAGCTGCTACACAGTCCACATAGCTGTTTCTAAATGTAGTTAGTTGCTCCAGGTCAGCGTTTGGCATTTGAAATGATCTTAAGCACACAGAAAGTAGGAGAAAAATGAGATTTAAAGTCTAGATTCTGAGTTAGGACACCAGTGAAAGATAAGACTATCCCAGGCAATAAATCAAGACATTCCAATAGAAATATATGTGCAAATGAAAATAATTATGTTTCTCTGTGCTTTTATTCCCAGTATAATTCCAGTGAACTTGACCCAGTTAGAGATGAAAAAGAAACTGGAGACATACTTTGGATTTCAGTGATCCTCTGTAACGAAGCGGCAGCGTTCGTGTTCGGCGTCTGGTGGACGACATCTTCCTCAAGGGGCCCGAGCTGCAGGGACGAGAAAAAGCACACGGCAGAGCGTGAGGACCTGACAGTGAGCTGCACAGACGCAGAGCAAGCGGGAAGCCTCATCCTCACAGCCTGCCCCAAGGACTGCTTGGCATTTCGCTGACATCAGGCACCCAAGTGTAGTCAGTCATATTTTGTGTCCATGTAATCAAATCCCAAGGAGCTTTTCTATTGGTCACAAGATTAATGTACGAAGGCCCCGAAGCAGGTGCACATCTGTGTGTCAGTCATTTAAAATCTGAGTTATTTGTGTACCTTTTGTGGGCCTCTCTCAAATGGAACTCCCTCACGAGGTGATGCACAGCTGGGGCCAGTGAACAAACTCAGAGAGAGCGTGGGGAAGAGTGGACAGTCTACTGTCTGTGTCTCCTCAGTGTTCTGACATTTAGTCATCTTAAATATTAAACACTTCCTGGTGGAAAGTCATCAGACGTTTGTTCTTACTCTTGGAATAGAGCAGAAGGAAAAAATGTATTAAAGAAGCCAGAGGTAAAAGAACAACACGGCCCCATTTAACATCCACTGTATTTAAAACTGTGATCATGTCAGCCTCAGGCTTGCAATAAATTCCTCCCGTGCAAATCTATCATGATCTTCTGGAATTACACTGATTTTTCATGGAGGAATTCAGCGAACATTGTGGGAAATGCTGCAGAGATTCCGATAATTATGGATTATCTCTGTTAGAAACAAGTCTGGTGGCACAGACCCTAGACACATGGGTGACGGGCGTTCTGCGGGGTACGGTAGTGGCAAAGAAAATAACCATCTAGTTTTGGGAACACAGCAAACAAGCAACAACGGTTGGGAGACAATGAACCCTAAACACGCTGTTTTCCTGGAAAACTTCAAGTTAATAACCTCAACTAAGAAGTAGTGGTTAAACAGAGTGGTGTGGCCGGGAACTGCTGTCAGCAGGCAGACCAAAGCACACTCTCATCCGAATTTCTTCAGCTGGAGGAAAAGCTAAGAAAAAAAAACCACTCAGGGATTATAAATTTCCACAGCATATGTGAGTGAATCTCACCCCCAGGGTCTCTTGGAGTTGATTATTCTGTACTTCAATCATGGGATCGAGAACAATAGCACCTTTCTTCCAGATGCCACAGGATAGCCGAGTAGCTCGGGGATATTTATACATGAGCAAATTCACTAAATATAACTTTGTAGAGTGTTTTTCTTAGCTGCCAAAGAAAAAGCTTTAAAACATCAAAAGGTCTGTGTGCACCACAATTTAGCAGGAGAAACACCACTGCACCCAAGTCCATGTCAGTGAAAGGCTGTGGAAGCTTAAACGCATACATTTGGTTAAAATCATTTTTTTTTAAATCAGTACTTCAGATTGTATCTTTAAGAATATGTCATCCTGCTCACAACCCTCATCTCAGAGGCAGTACCGAACCATAAGCCGAGGTTTCTTGGGAAATGTTTACTGAAGAGTCAGACAGGGTCGAGTGAACCACTCTGCTCATACACAAACATCCCTCCCATTCACGTCTTTCTCAGGACCTAGAGAGAAATAATTTTTAATAGCAATAAAATGTTTTGATACGTCATTTTATATTAGAACTTATGCACAAGATTGGTACAATCCATTTTTTCAAAAACCTTCCTTGGGACTTCAGATTTAAAAGAAAAAAATGCTGACAAACTTAATGGTGTTGGATGCTGGAGAGAAAACTAGACACAGAGCACACATGCAAAAGCCCCAATTTTGCAACTGGAGCTCACTGAGGTCTGTGGGCTTGTTTTTAAGTCCTGGGTAATATAGAAAGTATATGTGGTTCAGCGTGTTGAGTATGAAAACACAAACACTTCTAAACCCACAATTTAGAGTTTTCAGTAGGATGGATAAAGTTGTGCCTACTTATAAAAGCAACTCAGAGAATTAAGGAAATTAAATTGATCATTTAAGCCTCTCAAACCATTTCCCTGAATGTCATTTGAGGGTTTAACCTTCTGTAAATTGCCCCAATTTGTTTCATTTTGAGTGTGTACACACAGACAGGGCTGGATTCAGAGCGTTCTCAATGTGGGCTCTTTATATTTCATCGAGCAGCAGTTCAGAGAAGGCCGTGGGCAGTAGTCTCTCCACTGGCAAGGACACAAGCAGTGTTTACAGGCTGTTTTCCTAAAATTAAAAACTTGTATGCAGGGACCACAGAATTCAGGTGTATGTTTTCCTTCTCTTTCTTTCTTTCTTTCTTTCTTTCTTTCTTTCTTTCTTTCTTTCTTTCCTTTTTCTCTTTCTTTTTCTTTCATTTTGTGTTTTCTTTAGAGAATTTGTTGACTTAATCACTAGGAATTATGGGCAATAAAACCATCTGATTGAAGCATTCACTTGATAAATATTTATGAGTACTGGTCATTATTAGTACTCTAATAACTAAGTAATGAAATAATACTAAGCAAACAGTCGTTGTCATTAATTTTGGAGCAAACATGATAATACATAGGTGTTTAGTTTGGCCAAAAAGATGTAGTAAAACATTGGCTATTGACACCAGTCAGAAGTGCTAAGAAGTCTAAGCAAACAGGCCAGTGAGATACGGTAGGTCCAGAAGTTAGAAGTCTTACAGGCCCATCACGCTGTCTGCCGCGCAACTCCATTAAATAAAGATTATTTCACGAAGTTATTAAGATAAATCATACAATTTAAATACAGCCTATGGACACACAAAGCTAGTGAATGATCATTCTTTTCTACATGTAAAATATAATCACAACCATTCTTTATGTAGATTTCAGCTCAGTCATAGAGAAACCTATTCTCTATATCTCTTACATAAAATTGAGCTATTGTATGGGCAGAATTCAGATGCTTGCTCAGTCTCATCTGTCCTGTCTTCCAAGGTCCACAGCTGTTGGAAAACACTAGCTAGAGGTAATTAACTTGTGGAAGAGGGAGGCTTAGGGGCTGTGAATTGGAAAGGGGGTGGGGAAAGTTTGAGGGAACATGGGAAGGTTGGAGAGAGGATGAGGGGAATGACACAATTATATTTTAATTAAAAGTAAATTAATAAAAAATAAAATTTGAAATATTTTAAAAGTAATAGCATGAACAAAGATAGAAGGAGATACAGGTGGACACTTATTAATGTGTCCAGAAGTACTTAAAGTTCTAACGCTCAGGTTCAACCAGAATTATTCTGGGTATCTGGTATATTTTATGATATGGTTGTAAATTATTTATGTGTGTTTATTTATTATCAGATAATTTATTGATTTTTTTAAAGACCCAGTCTCAATAAAACTCAGACTGACAATGGATTCATGATTCTTCTACACTGCCTCCCAGCGATTGGCAGTATGGGCACATGCCACCACACGCAGATGTCGATTTGTTTTAAAAAGCTTTTGGAGATAGTTTTAACTTTCAGAGACTTCTAAAGATCATTCAGAATTCTCATAATATGGAAGGACTCGTTCAGATTTTCCTCATGTTCATGCAGCTATGTAACATCTGTATATACTTCAACAAGGACTCGTCCAGGTTCTCCTCATGTTCATGTAGCTACGTAACATCTGCATATTCTTCAACTTTATTCCCTACGCTAGTCTTGATAGAAAGACCTACCATTGGTTTTCACCAAGTTTTCCAATGAATTTTAAATTTTCACAAATGTTAGTTGAATTTAGTTGAGTTGACCGTTAATCTTGTTAAACTTAAGTAGTAAACATGCTTTAATGAAAATAACGTAGTGGATTCACTGCACACGCAGGCACGTGTAATTGGTAAGATGCTCCTCGTCACCTACAGCCTGCAGAGCCCTCTTGCTGGCTCATTCCCACATTAGACTCTTGAGAGGAAGAGCAAGAATCCTGGACACTCTTGACGTCAGAGAAAGGAAATTATATTCCACCACTGAAGGAGAACTTGAAAAAAGTCCATATCTACTAAATAGAGTATAATTGTGAATAAACTGTAGTAGTCTCCTAAAAATTCTCTTTCATGAAATATAAAGTCATAAAGTGTGATAAATGAATGGACTATAGCTGTGTACAATGACAGAGAAGACTCTCACAAACAAAGTGTTTAGAAAAAAGACATTATATACAAAATATTATATATGGATATATAATATTGCATCTTTATAAAGTTTACAAGTGGGAAAATTGGAACATGGTGTCAGAAATCGGAAAATGAGTTACTTTCAGAAAGGAGCCAAGCAGTAACTTAGATTCTCTTGATGCGACTCAAGGTTAGACATGTGATGTCCTTGTGATGCTTATTGGATTGTGCACATTTGTGCATATTTCTGCATGAGTATTATTAGAGTTTATACTTAAAAACAACTTTGGAAACACTGACATTTCCTTCGCATACTTAATAATGGGAACGATCCCTGACTCAGGCAAGCAGGGACACAGACTGGGCCTTCAGACTGTGCGTGTTCCACACGTGGTGATGCCCTAGAAATCACGGGAGAGCACCTTGCTGCAACAACGCTGTGTTCTCAGACATGGACCGTAAGTTCACTGGCAGAGAACACTGAAAGTCTGACTACAGCATTCAGACAACTCAGATGTGGTCCAAAAAGTGTTCAGCTGTAAGGATCAAAGGGATTCTGGGAGAATATGATGGCCAAGACCAGGAGAGTAGACACGGGGTACTCACTTGACCTTCTGTGTTGATGAACTATTTATTATCAATTCCCCTGCGAGAAGGGATTGATACTTAAAACCCTACTCTCATCTAAATAATTGCTCAGGAATGACTGCAATTAGTTGTATATGTTTAATTTGATTGCATAAGCAAGTCTGGTTATAATTTTATCCATACTGAGAATCATGAGTCAGTCATTCTTAAAACAGCCATTGCTGTTGGTTTGAAGCCACTAATGTTCTTCACCGAGTAGGCTCGGAGGGGCTGAAATCAGAGTGGACTGGGGTGACCACTAAGTCACTAGGCTGAAGTTCTGGCTGCTAACACTCGTCTCTCATCTCCAGTGGAGGATGAAGGACGGTATCAGCACAGC